GATTGGCACAGGACAGAGCGGAGTTTAGGGCTGTTGTACATAGGGTCGCTATGAGTCGCAGGCGACTCGGCGGCACATAACAATAACAACAACGTTAAATTTTATTAATTTTAATGAACATTTACAGAGATTTGGGGTTTTCATTTATTCATTATTGCACTGTTTTCTCTACCTTCCTCCCCAGTTAATTTGGTTTTTTTAAAGCTACATTTCTGGTCACAAGTGTGATGTAAGTAATAGAGTAAGACCTCCGGCTTAACATCAAGCCCATCCTACATGATCTCACTCTGCTGCTTTCCCTTGACTTCACTATTTTTTTTTTTACTTAAAACAACAGGGATTTATTCTTATACAGTTCTAGAGGCCGGAGTACAATATTCAAGTATTGGTGGGGCCACAATCTGGGAAAAGATGCTTCTTTGCTTTCCAGCTTTGGTGGCTCCTGGCTCCTTGGCTTGTGAGAGCATCATGTCACTCTCTACCTCCAGCTGCCCATGGTCCTTTCCTTCTCTGCCCCGTGTCTTCTATTAGGGACTCCTGTCATTAAACTTGGGGTACACCAGATAATCCAGGATATTTTAATCTTAGGATCCTTAATAGTGTCTTCAAAGACCCTTTTCTGAACGAGATTATGTTTGCAGGCTCCGAAGATAAGGATGGGGCCATGTTTTGGTGGCCACCATTCAACTCTCATTGTGAGATTCTAGGGTAGCAATGTCCCTGAAGGGTGGGACCCAGTACCTGGCCACCATGTTATCAGGGGTCATACCAGGTATGTAATTTGACACATTTATTAAGAAATAACGATGGAGGGGCAGTGGAAAGCAAAGTATGCCAACTGCTGACAAGAGACAAACTTGCCCATGGCAGTGTTGAGTGAGATGTGTAATTGGGCAGGGACTGCTGAGGGCACACTGGCAGAGGAGGGAGCTCCATGGGGAGGTCTGCAGGAGTAAGAGGCGCAGAGGGCCAAGGACCTTGCCCAAAGGGGACGGGTCAAAATGTGGGCAGGGATACTATTTTTTTTTTGTTTGTCTGTTTTGTTTATTTATTTTTAGCAAGGGGAGAGTATTTTATTTTGATTGGATGAACATTTATAGAGTAAGTTTCATATTCAATAAGTTATACACATTTATTTCTCCTTAGTGTAACAGCATTCTGTATTTCTTCCCTGGCTTCTTCATTTTTAGTTATCCTTCTTTCTGCCTTCTGACTTTGTTTTTGGGAAAATGCCACTCATCTTCTCTTCTGGCTGATTGTTCTAAACTGTTTCTCACAGTGTTACTGATCACTCTATAGGTCTGTTTATTATTTGGCTGAAAAGTAATTCCCAGGGGTGGGTTCAGTTCCAAGTTTGAAGGATGTCTAAGTCTTGCGGTTCCATCAGTCTCTGTCAAATCAGTACATGTGGTCTTTTTCATGGTTTTGAATTTTGTACCATGTTTTTTCCTAGTCTGTGTCAAACCTTCTGTTGTGATCCTGATTACAAGGATCATAGTGATAGCTGGGCACTGGTGATAGTGATTCTTCTGGTTTGGGGCTAACGAAGGCTATGTCCATTTTAGTATTGCCCCTTATAATTTTGTTTTCATCTTTTTCCCTACAATCACAGAGTAAGAAGGAGATCTTTTCCCTTCCAATGCCAGCCTAGTGTCTTATTTCCTTGATCCTATAGCAACTGCTTTGGTGACTTAGTGGGTAAGGAGTTATGCTGCCAACCCAAAGACAAGTACTTTGAATCCACTAGCTTAATCCACCATCGTAGAAGGATGAGCAACTTACAGTCTCTGAAAACTCATCAGAGCTAAAGCTATGAGTTGAGTTTTAGTCCATGGCACACAACAATAACAATTATGTATTTATTAGCCATCCTTCTCCCCAATTACAGTTTTAATCCCTATTTTATCTGATCCTTCCCCTCTATGTTTGTGTGTGTACACATGTGTATGTATTTGTCTGTAGTGTCCTGTAATTCTTCAAGTTTGTTTTTCATTCACTGAAAATATTCAATCTTTTTTTTTTTTAAATTCTGTGTCAGAAAGTTCCATCAGACATTCTGGCTTCATGAAATCCATTGCTACTATGTCCTTTATTGGGGGAGATACCTTGTTTTGGGCTTGCATGGTGAGTGAGGTCCCTGTTTCTTTTGAGACATTGATGTGGAAGAGTTTATGAAGACTGAGGTGATAGCTGATTCTTGGTTTGACATCACTGTTCCTCTGTCGAGATGCACAGGACCTCCCTGTTACTTGAGTTAGCGAGACCAACATGGTCAGGCCAGACAGCAGTTTGTAGTCCAAAGAAACTAAATCTTCAATGTTAGACAACTTTTTCAGGGGAGGTTGATAAATGCTATAATTTGGTCTATTTTTTTTTAAATTTTTATGTATAAAATGTTTGTGTATCAGCATTATTGCTCTTTTGTGCTGTGTAGTATTCCATGTGTGAATGTACCATAATTTCTCACCAGAGCTCTTTTGAAAACTCCTTAAGCACATAAGAATTGTTATGTATGAAATTGAACTCATTTACCTAGCTCCCACCCAAATTTCTTCCCGTGTTCTTTATTTCTTTTTATTCTGGCACTATTTTTACAGATACTTAATACTTGAAAATGAGTCATTTCCCCCCCCACCCCTTCCTTTCCTTGACTTATGTATTTAAACAGTTTTCAAATTCAGTTGATTCTGCCTTTTCAGTTACTTCCCCCTTCTCTGTTACTGTTGTCATAAACTCATTTTAGGCCCAGTTCTTCAGCTGGCTCTTCTCTATAGTTTTGAGTCAATGCTGGTGGTTGTGTTACCAACTGACACAATGTTGTCCTTGTCACAGTATAATGCTGTTCAGATCATTCCCTTGTTTAGAACTCTTGACAGGCCCCTATTGTCTGTAGCCTGATGTAAAGGATTCTTGGTGGTCTGGCCAATCTCTATTTTCTCCTTCTCCCCTTCATGTAGGTTGGATCTTAGTCAAGCAATTTGTTTTTCACTTTTCTTCACCTTAAATATCTACCAAAGAAACGTTACTTGTTTTTAGAGGCTTGAACCAGGTTTTGCTTCAATAGCTTTATAAATATTTTCTTTAAGCCAAAGCTTATGCTTCTATGACTTTCCCCCCATCTGTTATAGTTTATATCTTGATTTTAAACTATTTATTACTAATAATTGATAATGTTTACTTCAGGTGTGTGGCTCTGTGCAAAAACAACTTTAAAAGTTTTTGTCCTGGGGAGCTCTGGTGGCCTAGTGGCAAGGAGCTGCAACTACAGTCCCAGAGGCAAACGGTTCGAAATGCTCTGCCGGGGAAGGAGGGACAATCTCCTGTACCAGTCAGATCTGATTTGACGGTACACACACACACACACACACACACACACACACACACAAAATTAAAAAAAAGTTTAAAAAAAAAGTTGTCCTTGTTTTATAAGTGAGGAAATGGTAGTTTAGAGAGGTGAACCAACTTGTCCAGAATCGTAAACCCAGTAGTGGCAGGATGGGAAGCTTCTGTTCCGTCTTCTGGGCCCATTCTCCTAACCATTATAACTGAGTTTTCCTAATAAAATTTCAGTAAGTATTTATTTAATGAATGGCCTAAGAATTTTCTGTTCTCACTGGCTGAGACTTCATTTTCTGTTTTGCTTTTTTAACGAGCTACATGTCCTCACCTGAAAATGATATTGATCCTACTACCTTGTTGACCATACATTCATTCTGGAAATGAGCAATCCTAGAATGTTGGCCCAGTAAACTAGATGTGGTCTGACAAAAGCCTAAGAAAACAATTTTATTGAAAGGAAATTGATAATGTAAAGTCCTGTCAGAAATCTGGGGACTTGCTGCCTTAATTGTTTAAACAAAAAGAAATCAATGTTTAGATTAGGTTTGACAGAATCATTGTTATTTAAAATATGCATTTTTAAATGTAATGCTTTCTCTTTAATGACTTTTTTAGATTTGATTCGAACAATCCGGGACCCAGAGAAACCCAATACTTTAGAAGAACTGGAAGTAGTAACAGAAAGTTGTGTGGAAGTTCAAGAGATTGGTGAAGAAGACTGCCTGGTTATTATCAGGTTCACGCCAACAGTACCTCATTGCTCTTTAGCAACTCTTATTGGTAAGATTCTATGCATGTATTTTATACGTGTGTTTTGAAAGTTTAAATTATTTTTGCTAGTATTGTCCAAAATCCTCACAGTTAGCCTTTGAGGAACTTCAAGTATTATCTGCATTTTTCAGGTGAACAACTTGAGGTTCAGAGAGTTTAAGTGACTTGCTTGAGATCGTATAGTCAGGAAGTGGTGAAGCTGAGGCTCAAATACACGACTCCTGAAACTCCTCTGTTAAGTCTTGAAGACTCGGGTGGGCACTGTTGGCCTAGGACTGTTGCCATCACTATCTTCTTTCCTTCTCTGTTGACTGATAGGTGTTGCTTTTATCTGCCGTCAAGTCAGAACTCACTCATAGCTGACCCTCCAGGGGATTTTCAGAGGCTGTAAATCAGATGGGAGTAGATTGCCCATCTTTCTCCAGTGGAGCTGTTAGTGGATGTGAACTGCCTGCCTTTGGGTTGAAAGTTAAACTCCTTACTAAGCCATGAGAGCTCCCTGCCTTTTATATACTATGGATGAAATTCCTGGTGGGATTTTTGAGGCAGTTTTCCATTTAAGAGATTACAGTAAAAATGGCTAAGAGAATCATTATCTGTATCAGCTGACCATGGCTTATCCCTATGAGGTCAGATATGCCTCCACACTCTCCAGACTTTTTACCACTTCTGACATCAGCTGTCCCTCACATGCGCTCTCGACTTCTCCGCTCGGTTTGTTACTTCACTGCAGTGGCCACACAGAACTCAAACAGGACTCACAATTATAAAGTGTGTTAGAGAATTAACAGGTTACAATTCAAGATTAGAAACAACTCAGGATACAGTTCTTTGATCAGGACAGCCTCTTCCTAACCATATTCACTAGCAAGCCTCTTTCTGACTCTTAGCTCCTTTGCATGAACTCTGCCTTGCTCAAGTGAATGTTAAAAAAATTCTTTTAAACTCAACAAAATGTCAGTAATCACACTGAATGTGACTTTGAAAAACAAGGAACTCATGAAATATTATGCAAAATGGGTGACCCTGGAGGACATTATGCTGAGTGAAATATCTCAGTCACAAAAGGACAAATATTGCATAGGACCACTGTTGTAAAACAGGACTGAGATCAGGGTTGAGGGAAGACTGAGAAAGAGAGGATAAATAATGTCTATTGCATTGAAATAGATGAGGGAAAGAACTGTTTAAAAGAGATATATGACTAGGTATTATTGTCATGACAGCAGTCCAGAAAAAAGTCGGCATAGTGGAGTGGATTTGGGGGGAGGGATTGTATAACAATGAAAGACTTTTACTTTTCAAAGAGAAAAATGAATTGAGGGGGAAGTGGTGGACAGGGAGACAAGTGCAACAATGAATGAATGGAAACCATAATAAGTCTCTGTAAACTTTCATTAAAATTAATTAAAAAAAAGGGGGGAGGCAAGAAAAAGAAATTGTTTCAGTTCTGCAAGTAAGTGTCTAGAAGCACCCATCCCACCAGCCTTGACCTAAAGGTGCCCAGCTCTGGCTCTCTAGGTTGACAAATCTAGCTCTTTTGGCAAGTATATGGACGTACTTGAAGTCCTGGTGCTTCACCTGAAGCCTGAACGTGCTTTCTTGCTTCGTGTACTAGGAAGTCTACTGTCCACCTCTTCTCTGGTGCCACTGTTTGAAGTCTCTCATCTCTTTTTCTCTATTGCTGCTTCCTGAATTTAGCATCTCCAGTGCAGGGATCTAGGTTCAAAGGATGCACACCACTCCTGACTTTTCTTTCTTAATTTTTTCCCCCTTTACTTTCTTGATGGTAGTAAAAACCCCCTTTCCACTTTGAATAGCTTATTTTAAGCCTAGTGGGATGGCCAATCCCCTCATTAGGGCTCTATCCACTTTGTTTGCATGGTCTCATTCCCACAATCGTGCTAGCACTTCATTTACATTATTAGTAAGCAGTTTCCATACACACTTAATTTGCATAGTCATATCCAGTCATTTGGTGGAAGTTAGAAAGACCATGACTAGAAGGACTATATTAAATAATTTATTGCACTACAAATACCTTCCTAATACTTTGGATTAGTTAGCTGTAAGATATAAAATGGGGAGCTCTGGTGCCATAGTCTGTAGCGAGTTGCATTTCTAACCCATAGGTTGTTTTACCAGCAACTACAGGGAGAAAGATAGACAATCTCCTCCTGTTCTCTTTGCAGCCTTGGAATCTCAGCTATGAATCAGTTCAGACTCAACAGCAATGAGTTTAATGAGAAGATAGAAAATAGGTATCATTAAGCATATATTTTGTTGTAAATAATGGAAAGGGAGTTTCTTTTTTTTTTTTTTTCAAATGAAATGTTCATCAGAATGGGTTTGACTAAATAAGTGATGGTCTATATAAATAATAGGGAGCCCTAGTGGCATAATAGGGAGCTCTGGTAGTCTAGTGGTAAGAAGGTGTGCTACAATTCTGAAGGTTCAAATCTTCCAGCTGCTCTGCAGGAGAAAGATGAGCTGTCTCCTGGGCAGTTAATGGCCTCTGAAAACCCACCGGAGGGTCAGCTCAACTTGATGGTACATAATGACAGCAGCAGTGGTATAGTGGTTGGGCTTTCACCTACCAAGAGGAGTTGGTGGTTTGAACCCACCAGCTACTCTGCCTGAAAACACTGTAGCAGGCTGCATCTGCAGAGGTTTACAGTCTTGGAAACCCTGTGGGACAGTTCTCTGTTTTGTAAGACTTGCTATTATTAGTTGAAATTGGTTTGATTGTATAAAAAATGGAATACTATTCTGCTGTAAGAAAAACAGTGAGAAGCTATGTCGTGAGTGATATGGGACAACTTCAAAATGATGTTCTATTAAGTGGTAAAAGCTCGTATAGTATTGCTACCATTTGTGCAAATAGACTAAAATATGCATTTCATTTTCAGATTTTTGAATCATGGGAATATAGTACCTTTTGAAAAAGTAATATATTTGTCAAAAGCAGTGAAAAAGGAAAAATAAAGAAGTCTTATTTGGAAAGATAAAGGATATCACAGAAACAAATTATAAATAATTCTGCTGAGTCTCTTGGGAACTAGAGAGTTAACAGACTCTGTGTATGTGCATGTTTTGGTTGCTGGAGCTGTCTGCCCTTTCCCCCTGCTCTTTGTTTATGTTTGGCCCATCAAGCTGCTACCAAATGACAACCTTTATTCCTAATGGATATCAGTAGTTTCTAAATATGGTGCCATATTGCTGTCCTCTGGGGACATTCCTGGCATTTTCCTCCAGGCCTAATCCAGCAGGACTGGGAAATCTTTAGTGAGCTGCAGTGACCTAAGAGGTAGGGAGTTGCACTGCCTCCTAAGCCAAAGGCAGGCAGATCGAATGACTAGTGGGCGCCATGGGAAAAAGATGGTTTATTTCCTTCTGTATGCTTTCTGGCCTCTGAAAACTCACTGGATGGTCAGCTGAGAGCTGGTTCCAGTTCAGTTGCAATGAGTGAATAGGAAGTCTCTAAGTCCTTAAACATATTTGTTAACTCAAAACCTCTTTGCTGTCAAATTGGAACCAACTCATAATTGACCTTCCAGTGTGTTTTTGGGCAACTGCAAATTACAAAGGAGGAGATTGTCCTGCTTTCTCCCTCAAAGCCCTTGGTGGATTTGAACTATGAGAGATGCTGGCTTATGTTAGCAGCACAGCTCTCTACAACGACACCACCAGAGCTCCCTGTACTTATTAAAACTGACTTAAGGTCTTTGTTAATTCTGACTTCTCTGTTGTCTCTTTCTTTCTACTGACTGATTTTGCTGTACAATTCCTTTTTCTTTAGTATCCTGCCATACAAATTTTAGTTACTTCAGCATCTTCTAACTGTAATCTCTGCCTCTTCAGTTCTGCAAGACATCTTGGCCTCTACCCTATTACAGTCTAGAAGGTACCCACAAGCTTAAAGCCAAAGGAGACTGTGGGACCTGCACACTTTGTGTGTGTTTTCCTTGGCTTGGGAATCGTGTTCTATGCTCCCTGTGCTCAGTATCAGAAAACAATTGCTTTCATGTGTTTTGTCTGGTTTATAGTTGTTCATGGTTAGTGAACAAAGCCAATACCTGTTACCCACTAAGAACAAGAAGTCTCAGATCCTTTATTAAAAAAAATAAACATAACTTCCCACTTGATTTTTATGAATGGCCAGTCCTGTACATCTCTAGGATTGACATTTGGAAATCATTGACATAAATGTTTAACATAAAGTCCACAGAGGCTTGTTAAAAATGTGTATATTGGGGCTATGTGCTCTCAGGCTAGAAATTTTTAAAAAATCCCAAACCAAAACTCAAAGCAATTAGTAGATCTCTGTATCACAGAGGTTAGCAAGCCCACACTACTTTCTCTACATTCTAGGGTTGAACATAGATCTGAGTATTTTATGATTGGAGCAAGGTGTCTATCATCAGAAAAAGGAGATAGAAATACAGAAAGGGATAGGGGTAGAATAAACTTAGTGCTGTTGAATTGAAATTGAGATATCAATCTCATGGACAGTAAAGGACTGCCCAGCCCTGGGCCATACTCACAGTACTGCTCTGCTTGAGCTTATTGTTGTAGCCATTCTGTCTATGCATTTTCTTGAGGGTCTTCCTCTTTTTCTCTGACCTTTTACTTTACCAAGTATTTTACACACACAGGTATATAGAAAGACAGTTATACTTTACTTATTTGCATACTCTGTGCTGAGAAGGTCTAGAAGCAATACTGCTTTGGAAGTAGTGTATATACTCAATACCCAATTCAATTTCTAATTAATTTTAGTTTCTGATAGATTTTTCTCCACAAAAAGAAATCCAGAATCTTTGCAGAAAAAGCTAATTCTGTGAACATTTTGGTAAGTAAACATTAAAACAGTAACATTCTTGTTAAGCAAAGAATGATAGGGACATACCACAGTCATAACTATTAAATAAAATAAGAATCCATGAGCTCACTCAATTCTATAAGGCCATTATGAGTCAGAATCAACAGCAAACAACAACAAAGACATATGACTACACTGATTACACCTTCCAAGACAGGATTTGTTTGTCCTTCTGGCAGTTTATGGTATATTCTATATTCTTCGCTGATAGCACAATGCAAAATCATCAGTTCTTCTTTGGTCTTCCTCATTTACTGTCACACTTTCACGTGCATAGGAGGCAATTGAAAATACCATGGCTTGGGTCAGGAATACCTTAGTCTTTAAAGTGACATTCTTGCTCTTTAGCACTTAAAAGAGATCAGTGGCAGCACATTTGCCTATGGCAGTACATCCTTTGATTTCTTGACTGATGCTTTCATAAGTATTGATTATGGATCCTGGTAAAATTAAATACTTGACAGTTTCAATTTTTCCTCTATTTATCCACCAGTTGTGGACTTTATGAAGAACATGGCATCAGAATTGGAGGAAGACGTATCAATAACTTGCATTATGCAAATAACACAGCCTAGCTTGCTGAAAGTGAGGAGGACTTGAAACACTGTCTGCAAAAGATCAAAGACTTAGAGCCTTCGATATAGATTGCTTCTCAACATCAATAAAACAAAAATCCTCACTACTGGACAACTATAGGCAACATCATGATAGATGAAGAAAAGATTAAAGTTGTCAATGATTTTATCTTGTGTGAATCCACAGTCAACACCTTGGTACCAGCAGCCAAGAAATTAAAAGACATGTTGTAGTGGGAAAATCTGCTACCAAGGACATTTCCAAGGTACTAAAGAGCAATGATATCAGTTTAAAGACTAAGATGCAACTCATTCACGCCATGGTTGCTTTCAGTTACTTGCTATGCATCTGGTAGTGACTAAGGATGACAGAAGAAAGGATGCCTTTGAGTTTAGTGTTGGAGAAAAGTACTAAATATTCCATGGACTGCCGAAAGAACAAATTACTATGTCTCAGAAAAATGTGACTTAGAGAAGGTGCTCCTTAAAGGCAAGGATGGTGAAACTCTGCCTCAGATGTTTTGGACAAATTGTTAGTAGGGGAAGAAGACATCTACCTGGAAAGGTGGAGGGCCAACTAAAGAGAGGAAGATCTTCAACAAGATGAATGATATAGTGACTCTCACAATAGGCTTGAGTATATCAGAGATGATGAGGATGGCACAGGATAGGACAAGCTTCAGATATGTTGTTCCTAGGATCACTATGTGTTGCAGTTGACTCATTGACATCTAACAACACCTGTCAGTTTGTTGGAATGTCGTGGTTTGCTGGTGACCTATTGGGTAAAGAGTTGCACCGCTAACTGCAAGGCAGGTGGTTCAAATCTAACCGCTGCTCTGTGTGAGAAAGTTGGGTAGTTTCTTCCCATGCAATTTACAGCATCTGAAAACCTGCCAGAGACTTGGCTAAGAGTCATTTCCAATTCAACAGCACATGATAGCTACGATTCTAGAGGCATGCCTCTAGTGTTTCAGATACCAGCATTGTCACTCATGGTGGACAGGTTTGAGGGGAGCTTCTGAACTAAGATTAGGAAGCAGGCGTGGCCATCCACATCTGAAATAATGGGCCTTTGTAAACCCTCTGAATAGCCTTGGAGAGAAATGAGAGTGTCTTAAAACAATGCTGTTGGTTCTGACTCATAGTTAATTTTCTTGCAAGTTTTCAAGACTAAATCTATTAAGCCTGTGGTAGAGTACACTCTCTGGTGTCTTAAATGAAGTTGTGCTCCTGACCCATAGATGGCGCTTCTCTGGTGGTTTGAATCCATCAATTGCTTCTTGGGAGAGAGATGGGGGCAGTCTCTTCTCATAAAGTTTACAGCCTGTTGAAAATCTGTCGGAAAGTCAGCTGTGGGTTGGTTTTGACTCAATTCAATCAGTCACCTTGAGGTAGGGCAGTAGTGGAACACACCACTAAGGATCAAATCCACTTTCAATTTCTGCCTCAAATCTCAGTTGGAAAAAAAGAATAGTTTTGAACTGTGGCTTAGCATTGGGATGATAAACTAAACTAAAGAGGGAAATAATTACTTTAGGGAAACTTGTTTTAGTTCTGATTTTATCTTAGAGATGTAGAGGATCCCAAATTTGAGAGGTTTCTTGTGGTCCTTCTTAAGTGGTTCTTACTGAATATTTTTGTATAGCCTGTTGGAGTCATTCAGTAAAACCTGACAAATGAGATGGCCTTTGCCAAAGACGTTGTTGTAGGAAACAGGGCCTGAGGTTTGCAGAAGGGGTCAATACTAAGTCTGCCACTTTATTATATCATTAACCTTGGGGAAAATTCCATTTTGACCTTGGTCTCATAATTTATGAAATGAGTTTGTAATTCTTAACTCAGGATTAACATAAGACTAAGCCTAGCATGATACAAATCTTAAAGGAGAAATTCAGTAAATATTATTTCTTTTCTCATCCTTTAATGTCACTAACAGAGCCACGAGCCAGGATTTAACTCTGTGAGTCTACAAGGACTAGCTAGCTAGCCTCACTCTCCACAGATGATGGTGAAAGATAGAACAGTAATGTGAACCAATGCTGTTTTCAGCTCTTGGATTGTGTGGAGACAGCTGGACACAGCTTTATGCTTTTTCAGAAACCAACCAGGTGGAATCACTGGGGCTTTTATTTTTTTCCTCTACAGGGCTGTGCTTAAGAGTAAAACTTCAGCGGTGTTTACCATTTAAACATAAGGTAAGGAGAATTGTCTTTTTAAATAATAGTTTTGAAATTTAATTCACCTATCATGTACTTCACCTATTTAAACTTTATAATTCACTGGTTTTCAGAGTATTCACAGAGTTGCAAACTATGATTGCTATCAGGTTTAGAACATTTTTTATCACTTAAGAGGTTGTGCCTATTCTTTCCATTTATTTACCTACCCCAACCCTCAATATCCAGCCTTAGAAAGATAGCTTGTGATTCTTAAACTCTCAAATTCAACCATTTCCTGAGTTTGTTGGGTTTTTTCTTCTATGTAATTTTACACAATCCTTTGTCCTGTTTTGTTTCCTATAAATTGTAGTTAAGATACTTCATCTGATTCATAGTCTTTTTAATTTCATTTTTTAGCAGGCTTACTATATAGGTGGAGGTATATACTTCCTTTTGCCTCATTTTAGGAGACATGATAATCTGGTAATCTTTTTATAATGTTAAAAATCATCAGTGGGATCAGATGTTGCCATTATAATAAACCTATCCCTTATAAAGTTCCTTGTCAGCTTAATAGCCACTACTTATCATTGCTTGGCTTCTTTATTTCATTAGGAGCTAGTAAATGGTGACATTCATTTATGTGTAATAGCTGAAATTTCTATGTAAAAGAAAACCTTCCCACCAGCTGTTTTGGTTCCATGGAGGTGTAGCAGGATGATTGCTTGTCTCTTTCCCCCTTTACTAGTATTTACATGCAGAATGATTCTTCTCCTGCTACTCTAGAGTAGTTGTTAGTGTTACACTTCTAGGGGAATTGGTATGGTATTATGTTTTTAAAAAGGGTGTGGGAGCTCAAGGTGGGAAGGAGTGGGAGCAGAGGGATGAGGATGGGTAGGGATGAAACCACAGGGTTGCACAGGTTGGTGGGTGGGGGCAGGAAGGAAAGGGAATGGGAAGGATCTGGGTGAAAAGATAGGGTAATGATGAACAAATGGTCTAATGGTGATTAATTGTATAAAACGTAATGCGTGAGAATGATTGTATGAAACACAATGCAATGTATACAAATTTTGTAAGCAAACCTATTTAAAAAAAAACCCACAAAAAAGTGAATGAGATGGTCTCCATCTTTTTAAGCTCTTGCAGAATCTGATTTCCTTTCACTTACAAGAAAGCCTATATCTCAGTAGTAAATATGAATTAGTTCTGATGCTCAGGTGTTCTTTGGAGAGTAGACATGCCTTTATTTATCTTTGTTGAGTACCATCGGTCTGGTTATGGAAGTTAGCTTTAGCTGATTTGAGGAGATATAGTAGGGCCAGACAGGCTAGCTTGACCAATATAATGTTGTTATTGTTGTAATGTGCCCTTGAGTTGCCTGTGACTTATAGCGACCCTATGTACAACAGCCCTAAACCCTCTTCTATCAGGTGCCAATCTTACTGTCTCTGACACACCCACCCCCCATTACCCCCACTTACTGAATCAATCCATCTCATCAAGGGTCTTTCTCTTTTGTGCTGTCCCTCCACACACTCCCAAGCATGATGTCCCTCTCCAAGGACTGGTCCCTCCTTATCACATGTCCAAAGTATGTCAGATGAAGCTTCAGAATCCGTGCCACCAAGGAGCAGCCTGGTCTCACCCTCTCTAGGATGAATCTGTTTGTTTTCTTAGCAGTCCATGGTATATTCAGTATTTTCTCCAGCATCACAGTTCAAAGGCATCAATTCTTCTTCTCTCACCCTGGTCATTGTTCAGCTTTCTAATGCCTAGCAAGTGATTACAAAGACCATAGCCTAGTCTCCAGACTGACATTATTGCTCTTCAGTATTTTGGAGAGGTCTCTGACAGCAGACTTTCCTAAGGCAATACTTGAGGATAAATTTTCACATGGTAACAATGAAGCAGAAAAGGAGAGTGCTGAAAAAAAATTTATATAGTGATCTTGTTTTGTAAACTGAAAAGAGACTCCCAAGTGTGATGTATATGTATGCATGTCTGTGATGTTTATGTATATACATATATATATCTGTGTGCATGTATTGTGTATAATCTGTTTAAGATTTATGAATATGGAGAAAAATATGGCAACAGCTATGTTAGATTGCTGACGTGACTTTCCCAGAGAATGAGACAGGAGGAAGATTTGACAAGAAGAGGTGGAATCTAGGGGAAGAGTATAAACATGGCTAAAACAATGGGTATGAAATGCCATTTGTGTGAAATCTTATTTGTGTGTTAGGCTCCATTGGGTGGAACTGCCCCATAGAGGTCCCACTGTCATTTTCACAAGATCAGATCACCAGGTTCTCTCTTATGAATCTGCTAGGTGGGTTCTAAGCACCAGTCTTTTGGGGAGCAGCTTGACACTTAAGCATTGTGCCACCAAGTTTAATTATATTTGTGTATATATGTAAAAAATGAATAAGAAATCCTTCATAACTCTCCCCCTCATGTGAGTAAAAAAAAACAAAACACAGAAAAAACAATTAAAAAACCCATCTTGGGAATTTCATTGTTTGTTGGAGAGAAGAATGTGAGGTCTGGGTCTAGAAGTCTTTGAAGTTCGACAAGCTTTGGGCTCCCAGAGCTAGCCCCTGGAGTCCACTCATTCTGCCTCACATTCGTCTTTGAATGCTTTCATACTTGCTTTTACTATTTCTTCTTTCTAGTTGGAAATCTACATTTCTGAAGGAACCCACTCAACAGAAGAAGACAGTAAGTAAACTCTGAAATGTAGTTAAAAAACAACTTCAATTAATACTTGATGTTGGGTATCAGGTCCTTCTGCCAGCCTAACAATGATGTGCTCTGTCTGTTTCTAAACGAGTGTGGTGGTGGTATATACTGTTGAGTTGGAACCCACTCATAGCTGAACCTCTAGCATATTTTCAGGCTCTGTAAATTGTAGATTGCCCATATTTCTCCCATGGAGCATCTTGTGGATTTGAACTGTACACCCCTTTGCCACTAAATCACCAGAACTCCCTATACCTTTGTTGTTATGGTTGTGTGCCATCAAGTCGGCCATAGCTGACAGGTTTTCAGAGGCAGTTAATCAAAATGAGGAGATTTCCCATCCTTCTTCTGTGGAGCAGCTGGTAGATTTGAACCACATGCCTTTAGGATTGCAGCACAGCTTCTTACACTAGGCCACCAGAGCTCCCTCCCTATACCTATACAGGAATGTTGTTGTTATGTGCCGTTGGGTTGGCCATGACTCATAGCGACCCTCTACACAATAGCTCTGAAACCTGCCCTATCCTGAGCCAATCTGTCTCTCACATACCCAATCTCATTACCTGAGTTATTGTGTCATTCCATCTCACCCAGGGGATCTTCCTCTCCTGCACTGTCTCTTGACCCTTCCAAGCAGATATCCTTCTCCAAAGTCTGGTTCCTCCTGGCTACATGCACAAAGTATGTGAGATGGAGCCTCAAAATAGATATGTAAAATAAATTCTTAGCATTTCTTTGACATTTTAAGAAAGTAATTTATTCAGAATTCCATAATGAGATGCTAGTCAAATAGAACCAGGCCCTGTGGATACTGACTGGTTTAAACCAGTGGCTACACATCTGTTAAAAAAAAAAGACAATCTAGCTCCAGGGACTTTAATTTATGAGTGTTAAAGAGGATTTGATTCTTTTCTTTAGTGACTCTGTAGACAAGTGTGTCTTTGAAAGTGAGTGAATTTGGTGCAGCCTAGATGGCAACTTAAATTTGGGGAATCTTAGAGTAGGAGTCTGAGTTAATAAAAGAATTATTATTTTGTGCTGTTGAGTCAGAACTGACTCACAGCTGACCCTCTAACAGACTTTCAGAGGCAGTAAATCACACAGGAGGAGATGATTGCCCATCTTTCTTCCACAGAGCAGCTGCCGGATTTAAACCACATGCCTTTGGGATTGCAGCACTTACCACTAGGCCACCAGAGCTCCCTGTTAAAAAGGAGTAGGAAACCTTTATTTATTT